CAGATGTTATCGGAATTGGAAGATTGGAAGTTTCCGGAGAAAAGCAAGTGGATGATTGATCTATTGGCAAACGCTCAGAAGAACAGGTCTGTTGTCAACCACCGGACTTTGCTTTGATTTAAAAACGACTTTTCAGAGATATTGTGGAACGTATGGCCGCTGACCATTCGCCTCCTCTCAATTACTACGCTGCCTATACGCCAGTGAGCTTCTGCCCTTATTAAGGTCGAACACATCTGTCAATGTCATGCCGTTTTAGATCCGCAAATTCCTTGAAGAAAACGATGTTCTCGTTGTTAATGAGGGAGCGAACACCATGGACATTGGGCGGACGATGATGCCCTCTGTACTGCCACGTAGACGACTCGATGCTGGAACGTTCGGTAAGCACTGACTAGGAGGTCTTGAAGACTTGAAAGTCTCGAAAACGGGTTGAACAACACATCAAGGGAAGTTCGGTAAAACGACCTTACCTCGAGATCTGATACATCCCCTCAGTTAGGTTCCACAACTCATCTTTATACACTGTAATCAAAATATCAATAATAATCGAATTTTTCATGGAATTCCTAAACTACAAAATCTTGTTAAAATTTTTCACAAAATCTGATGAACCTCCCCTATCTTCAGGACTCCTGATTGTTTCCCATCTCAAAATTCCTATGTTTTGTCAGCTAGTTGCATTCCTTGTTTTTCATCTGCCTCCAGTTGAGCCACGGATCGAGAAAAATTTGATAGTGCAGAATCTCCACTTCGCTCCACCCCCTCCCTCCTCCCCCATCCTCACCCACCCTCTAAAATCGTCAATAGCAAAGCTCCTGTGATTCAAATTCGTTTCCATGTCCTACACATTCCCATCCTCTTTCATGCTATGCACCTGAAATCATACCTACCTTTCCAAAGAAAAGCTTAACCGAGAACGTGGGGATGGAGAGGCAGAGTGGTATATACTATAAGAAGAGTAGAACTAAATCTAGGAAATCTCAAAATCTCTCCAAATTTCACAAATTTTCAGAAGCTTTTCTTAAAAAAATCTCGAAAATGTCATAACTATCAAAAAATTCTTTCCCTTACCAAAACTCCGCTCACCTTTTCGGAACCACTGCAAATTCCACCCGACACACGCGCTTCCTTGGGAACGGAATTCAACTCATCTGTTTGTATTTTTGATAGTGGAATCACGATAGCCGTAGCCTTAGCCTGGCTCTGTAAGGTGAGATGAAGGCGGATTTTCTGACCATTGAACATTTGACTCCGAGCTCAACCCCGGACGCTTTTGATTTTAGGTACAATGGGAGTGGGGCCATGGCTACTCCTTAGCTGCTGCCCTATATTGTCGGTGATCACTCGCCAAACATGCAACCAAACACCAAAGTTCTTGTGGTTCAAGGAGATAGTGCGTTCGGATTCTCGGCAATGGAACTCGAGACGATTGCCAGGTAATTTAGTAACCTTCTTTATCCTGCATTCTTTGAGGAATGAAACGTTCACATTGGAGGAACTATCTTCATATTTGGCCCAACACGCTCTCAAGGTGTTCTATTCTGACACGCACGATAAGTATATCGAGAATTATCGTTTGACAAACGAATACGTTCTCCAGCAATTCATGTTCCTTTTTTCCAAAAACGGAAGAGCGTCGGTGCAGACCATACACCACAAGTGACGACGGCCTCCACAAAATGTAAATGTTTTCTGCCAATGAAATGATTAGCCTGTTGCAGTTGTATTCTATCAGTTGTCACTAATTACAGCTATCATTTACCAAAAAACAGCTAATCACTACGAACCCCTACTAACCCATCATTGATGCTCGTCGTCATTTTTGGTGTATGATCTGCAGCCGGCGCAGTTCTCGTTTTTCGAAAGGAATGTACCTGGGAGTATTCGACTGCTAAGATTACCCTGCTGCACTTTAAGAACTTTGTATGTCCTATTCTTTTACTCATTTCCTTAATCATCTTCTGAATGACAAGAGTGGACAAACTAGTCTCGTTCACTTGTTTTACAAGATGGGTGGAACTTGTATGACGGGCGGAGGATCTCGGGGCCCAAACTGTTTTTATTGAATATTTCTTTCGCTAATGCAGCTAGTATGGCTCAGACCAGCCTTTACCCATTTCTGCTCCAAACCTCAAGACTGAGCTGGATTTTTCAGAACTTGTTCACGTTCGATTTAGCTAGAAATTTGTGTTTTCGGGTATTGAAATCCGTGGAACACGAATATAACATCGATTTTTTTTTCGCCAGAGCCCTTGCTGCCTGCGCCACAGGCGCCGGGCGCCATTAGTTTTGCGCAGGCACCCGTGGTGCAGGTTACAGGTTCAACTGCAATTGGCTAATGTGTTATTTATGTTCTACGGGCCGGCAAGTTTCCAGCGAGTTTGTTGAGCCGAAGTGTTCTCGCGCCTTTTGGCACCGGCAAGGAGTTTTCGCGCTAAAAGAATGCGAAATTCGTGTTCTACGGGTTGGATTACCCACAAGGCAAGTTTCTAGCAAAATTCACAGTCATGACAAATTTCGATAAAAATTCGGCTCAGTTTTTGAGGAGTAAGGCAGTAAAGGGCAAATATGTAAAGTCCAAAATTAATAGCGCTGAGACAAACGGGCTGTATGCGCATGGTTTTACACTGAATTTTGAAACCATCAACGTCGATCCGTCTAAAATCATCAATTATTTCAGAACAGGCATGAAAGAATGTGTAGCTTTCTAGGTACAAGCTGCCAGTTGTGTGTGTCGTGCTGAACAACAGCGGCATTTATCGCGGTATGCTGCCCGAAGACATGAAATCAGTCGAAGGAGACCCGACACTGCAGTGAGTACTCGTAAAATCTTTTGGACCTCTTGCTATGATGTCTGTGTCGTGATGGCTGAGGAATCAGATGAGCACGTGCCGTGATGAGCTCTCATACTTTCTGCACGATTTGGGGCGCGG